CATGCTTACACTCATAACACCCTCCTTCCCCACACCCTCCAGTAAAATTCTGCTTTGTCGCCCTACAGCTATGGGCCACACCTTAAATCTGCCATTGATCTGCTGCCCACGCCCCACCCTGTTTGGTTTGATTGGTTTTAGTGAGAATAGCTGACTGACACCTTTCCAGTTGGGTCCCCTGAATGGCAGGTTTTGCGAGTTCGAGTTCCTTTAAACAGCTCATACTCTAGGATACTGGTTCTCTAGTCCCTGGAGTGTCATCACAAGCAGGGAATGGGTAAGAAATCCAGATTGTTGGCCCCACCCTAGTCCTCCTGGATCAGGAACTCAGGAGGTGGGACTGGGCCCTCTGTTTTAACAAGCCCTCTCCCTAATTCTGCACACTGAAGTTAGAGAACCACTGATCGAGCACACGTGAGGTTAATCCACAAGCCTTCCCTTTACACACATCTTAGAATAGCTCTTTTCTGTAAGTCACGGTGCATGTTGACTCATACCTGCTACAAATTTTTCCCTACCTTACCTATTTTGAAAAATGTCAAACCTTCAGAAAGCTTACAAGAATATTACAATGAACATCCATTTCCCCTTCACTTCAGTTCACCAGTTGTTAACATTTTGCCACATTTGCTTTCTTTCTTTCTCTGTTTATTCTGAACCATTTGAGTTAGTTGTAGACAATAATCACCCTCTAAATATTTCAGCATTCTGCCTCTAAATTTTAAGGATCACTTTAAGTAAAAAAATTTGAAATTAGGTACCTACTGCAGTAGTAGCACTTGGATCTTTGGTGATATTAAGGAATTGTTATTTTTTTAGGTTTGGTAGTGGTAAGGAGGTGAAGTTTTTAAAAAGAGTCCTTTTTAGGTCTGTTTTAGATACTTATTGAAATATTCACAGATGGAATACTATGGTGTCTTGGATTTGTTTCAAAATAATCCAGTGGGGGTGGGCAGTAGGTAATGAGAGGTGGGGTAACAGGAAAGAAGACTGGCCGCGAGTTGGTAATTGTTTCTGCTGGGTGATGTGCACATGGGGACTCATTACACTGTGCTCCTTTCTTTGTATATTTGTTTTTCTATTTTATTTTTTATTGACATTATGATAGTTTATAACCTTGTGAAATTTCAGTTGTACATTATTATTTGTCAGTCATATCGTAGGTGCACTCTTTTGTATATTTTTGAAATCTTCCATAAGAAGTTAAAAAGAAATCATGATAGTGACTCAAAAGACACAACATTTTTACATTGAAATGACGAATTACAGAAAATAGCGCTAATTTTCTGTCAAGAATGCAAACTGTGAAGGGCACCTGAGGGTGGAACTGACATGCGAGGTCTCCTCTGTGTCAGGCACTGTGTACACTAGGCATTTTTTGTGTGATACCGTTTAATCTACTGATTGCCGTCTATGTTTACAGTTAGCAAATTAATGGGTCCCGCCCCATTATTCCCTATATTTCTTGATAACAAGAATTAATGAAATGAGTAATCTGATTTCATTATATTTTGCCATTCCAACTGTTATATATAAAAGCCATTTATAAATATATTTGTTGACAGCTTGAAACAAAATTCAAAAGTGACTTAAATGGGGGCATCTTGGCTGAGAGAGAAGAACCCCTCCGGTGCCTAATAAAGTTCTCTAGCCCGCATCTTCTGGAAGCATTGAAAGCCTTAGCACCAGCTGGTGAGTAGTCAGCTTACTTTCCAAGCTATAAGAATGAACATACTATATTCGATCCTCTCCTTGCTGACTAATTACCTCTGAGCTTTCTCGGGGCTCCGTCTGCTATGTCATCTTGCCCTGTTTTGCATATTCTGCTTCCGCACGTAATGGGGGTCCATGATCTACCCTCTAAGGTTGGCCGTTTTTAAACTGACTCACGTCTTTGCCCCTGTGATTATTTTCATTTTCTTTTCTCTCTTTTTAATTTCAGGTATTGCAGATGCACCACTTTCTCCGCTGCTCACTTGCATACCCAACAAGGGAATGAATTATTTTAAAATTAGAGATAAATAAGATGTATGTGGTTTTGTAAGCATAGCAGCTCCTTCACTATATTGCATACACATTCAGTTAATGGCTAGCTGAATAGCTTCTGTCTATAAACTTGTGTTTTAGAAATTAATCCTTAATATTGACATTTTAGAAATGTTCAATGTAATTTTTTGGGACTGATTCTTTCCTCGTCCACAGTGTGTCCCCTCTCCCCCATATCCTGCAAAGCATAGCAGTTGTGGGTCTGTAAGATGTGACAGGATGTCCTTTTTCTCATTCCTGTCTCTCCTTGATCCTGGAGAGGTCTGGTTCCAATTGCTGGTCCCCAGGGATTTTCTCTTAAGCCTTGGATCACGGAAAGAAGCACCAAGAAACTACACCCAACTCAAAACTTTCTAGGAGAATCATAAAATTGGTCCATCCAGAGGGTACAGCTGGGTCCATTAAGTTATTATTGCAGGAAGTAGCATATCAGATGATTCAGTTTTATAAAATAATGGCTTTGTTATAAATATGATATTTTTCATAGTCTGTTTTATCATATGTATAGCATTCAAACTGACCAATATTATACTAATTTGTGAATAAAGATATTTAAAAACTGGTACATCAGTTACTCTTGATGAAAATCCTTCAATGATCATCACTAAATAGCATATCCTTTTATAATAACATTTAAAAATCTAGTCCTTATCTCATTCCACAAAGAATTTGGAATTATAAAACCGTATGTCACAATTATGATAAAATTAAAAGGTGAGGAAGTCTGGGAAAATGAGAGAACAAAAAAGAATATGAGGACAGAATAAAGCTAGGGATAAGATCACCATGTAAGCACGTACGAGTGCCTCTCCAGCTGCTAGAGGAAGATTGAAAATTTGGAGTGGAGTTAGCCAGTGGCCAAAGCAGAGAAGAAAACAGCAATTGTGAATGAAGATATTTAAAAAGTGGTACATCAGGTACTTTTGATGAAAATCAAAAAGAGGCTTAATATACAGATATATAAGGAATCAGAAAAAAAAAGGACTAAACAGTGCTTTACAATGTAATGGTATTGTCTACAGATTGAAGGTATCTTATGTGAAAAATATGTTTTCAGATTTACTTAGCAAATGGTATAGACACTTCAGTGATCTCAGAGCAAGTCACTGGGTCTGCACGGGCTGAATAGTGCTGATTTCCTTGTAGACCATAGTCGTGGCTTAGAACGTCTGTCCCTGTGTGCGCACACACACGGTAGGGGTTTCTGCCTGGTGCCTGAATGCCTGTGTTAGGTCTGCGCAGAGGCCCTGCAGATCCCCAGGATGGTTCCTCACAGGCTCACAGCCCTCCCTGGTGCTAGGCAGGGATGTGCAACTGGACCCTGAAGGAGAAAGACACTAATCGTATAATCCAGGCTATAGAGGCGTCACTTGAGGCTGCATTCTGCGGCCCTCCCAGACAGGCTCCTGCTTAAGGAAATCAGAATACATGGAATTCTCATCTGTTATGTGCTTGATGGTTCAGAGACACAGACTGCATTCAAATGCAGCCTTGGGAACAGATGGAGCAGTAAATGCAGATCCAGGGACCTCTACAGCCAAAGGAATTTACTGCACATTAGGTAGGGTCTCCAAAAATGAATAATGGCCAACATTTACTGAGCACTTACTATGTGACAGGCACTATGTGCTAAGTATTTTAAATGCATTATCTTATTTTCATAACAATCCTATAAGGCAGGCAGCATTCCTAGTCTTATTCTACTGAAGTAAATAACAAAGCGGAGGCTAGTAAGTGGCTGAGCCCACATTAACCCCAGGCAGTTGAACTCCAGAGCCTGCACTCTTAGACACCATGCGGAAAGAAACAATAGCCTGAGGATGCTATCTATCCCACACAGAGATGTGGGTGTTGGGGGGTTTTTTGGCCAACAGCACTTTTTAAATCAGAATTCGTTCCTGTGGTGGGCATAATAATGGCCCCCCTCTTCAAAGATGTCCACATCGGAAACGCTGGGATCTGTAAATATGTGACCTGACAAGGCACAGGGACTTTGAAGATGGGAAGATTATCCTAGATTTCCTGAATGGACCCAGTGTAATCACAAGGGTCCTCAAAAGTAGAAGAGGAATAGAAGAGAGCAGAGGAACATGTGACTACTGAAGAAATCAGAGTGAAGCAACAAAGACTCAGCTCACTGTTACTGACTTTGAAGATGGAGGAAGGGGCCATGAGCCAAGAAATGCAGGCGGCCTCTAAAAGCTGGAAAAGGCAAGTACACATATTCTTCCATGGAGCCTCCAGGAGAAATGCAGCCCCACCGACCCCTCGATCTTAGCCCAGTAGACTCATTTCAGACTTCTGGCCTCTAGAACTGTAAGATAACAAGCCTGTGTTGTTTTAAGTCACTGAAGTTTGTGGTAATTTGTTATCGCAGCGATGGAAAACTAATACAGCTGCAAATATATAAAATTTGGAAGTTTTCATAAAAATCTTAGGAAGTAAATCTAGTGATACTAAAGATGAGCGGCAGCCGCCCCCTTTAAACAAAGGCTGTAGCTCCCATTTTGCTGCAGTCCTCACCCATTTGTCTACTCCTGGTCCCCCTCCTCTATTTACATCACCTACCTAGTTCCTCTGGGTTCTTAGGTTTTGGAACCCTGCCCTGAGATATACTGTCTCCCATATAGTAATTGAATTTCAGCGTTAAAATACAGGCGAGTAATCCAGCCTCCCTAAAATGATTAACCGTCGATTGTAACAATCATTTGTACAATGTGACCTCGGACTAGTTACGTACTTCTCCACGAAATGGGGGGAAACTTATAGTACATGCCCGCTACAGGTGTTTCGAGGACAAAATGAGATAGTCAATGAAAAGCATGTTCCCTGGTGTCTAGCACATGGTAAGCCCTCAACAAACCATAACCGTATTAACATACCATCGCCTCTCCTGCTGCCGAACATCTGGGTTGTTTCTAACCTTTGGGAAGTAAAGTTCCTAAACGCATTACCTTTTTTTCTATCCAATAATTGTCCGAGGTCAAGTTCCTAGGAAGGCGAAGAATGGATCGGATGGCTGGACCAGCGCCTTCTGCCTGTTGGCAGGAAGCCACGTGAAGTTTTGCAACCCGGCTGCCTCACTGGCGGCGGCTCCCGCAGTCGCGCCCTCCACGGCCGCCAGGGGGCGCCGCGGCCGTCCGGGCGCCGCCGGATGCTAATGAGCCGGGCGGCCCCGCCCCCTGCCGGAAGTGGCTGCGGCGGGAGGCGGGACCTGCGAGCTCGGCCCGGCTGCCGTGCGGGAGCCATGGCGGCCTCTGAGGCGGCGGCGGCGGGGCCCGCGGCTCTGGCCTCGGGTGTCCCGGCCGTCCCGGCGGCCGCGAGGGGAGCCGCCGCCGCCTCGGGCCCGTGGGGGCCCCCGGGCCGGCTGAGGGGCAGCCGGCCGCGGCCCGCAGCGGCCGGGCAGCCGGCGGCGGGGGCGGCGGCGCCGGCCCGGGAGCTGATCCAGCCGTCGGTGAGCGAGCTGTCGCGGGCCGTGCGCACCAACATCCTGTGCACCGTGCGCGGCTGCGGCAAGATCCTGCCCAACAGCCCCGCGCTCAACATGCACCTGGTCAAGAGCCACCGCCTGCAGGTGAGCCCGCGCGGCGCCGCGTCCAGCCCCGGCCGCCTCGGCGCGGCTTCCGAGGACACGGGCCGGGCCGCAGGGGGTCGCCGGCCGGGGACTGCGGGGCCGGCGCGTGTCCAGGCGCAGTCGCCGAGAGCACGGGGTCCGCGGCGCGGCTGTCAGGCGGGACCGGCCGAAGCCCGCCGGCGTCGCACACGCGCGTCCCTCGTCCTGCAGCGGCGTCGTAGGAGCCTCGGCTCCGGTCGATGGGCCCAGTTCGCCCCCGATCGCGCCGGGAGGCAGACCCGGGCTCTGCGCCTGCAGCCCGGCCTCCCCGCCGCGGTCCCGCCTCGAGGCCTTGCGGTCCAGCCCGCTGGGTGAAAGGGCGCCGCAGGGCCGGCCAGGCGCCGTCCGCGCAGGTGTCACCGTGCCGGGAAGCCAGCGGCGCTCGGGCGGGCAGCCGAGGGGACGTTTCTGCCGTGGGTCTTGTCTCCGAGGGGACACGGTGTGCTAACATGACACTGGTCCGAACATCCCGTGCAGCTTGTGTGAAGTGCCCATCCCTGGACAGCTTAAGAAAAGCCAGACGTCCAGCACACCCCCGCCAAGACCTATTCAGGCCTCGTCTCCCAGTCCTTACAATAGGAAGTTTCCTTCCACCACTTCTGAGTCTTTCTGTGCCAACGGTGACGTAATTCCAAAGCGTGTCGCGAAAGCACTTTGGTGGACACTAGCTTCGACGGTGTGAGCTGCTTCAGGAGCGAGTTGAAGTCGCCCGGCGCGGCGCGTGTCCCGCGCATCCTCCGGGTGGGTGCATCCTCCGGGTGCATCCTCCTGGGAGACTTGCTTAGAGTCAGGCTCTCACAAGGGTTTCACAGCAGAAAGTTTGAGCTGAGGGTGGCTAGGAGGGCAGACGGGTCGCCCGGGAAGGGCAGTCCCCTTCCAGCCCCGCCTGGACGAGACGCGGCAGCGTTCCGCTGAGGATTCCCCAGCCCGATCCGGAGATGTCCGCGGAGGTGGGCTGAGCAGGACCCTGCGGGCGTCTGCCGTCTTCCTCCGAATAGTTCTGATTTTCTTCCAGGACCCGAGTGCAGTAACTCTGGGAATAGTCTTCAATCTCCTGTTTCCTCTTTCATACTGAATTTTAACTGAATCCTTCCTTTTCTTATCCGTATTTTATCTTGAGTGGGTGAACTGTCTATCTGTAGGAATTCCACCCCCTGATCCCTTGGTTCTCTCTAGCGGGTGTAGGACAGCCATCACTCCCTTCTCTGTCCTCCCCTGAGCCACAGACAGCTCTGAGCACAGATGAAGCTGTCAGTCTGCCCGGGCCCCTCCTTGTGTTGGCCTGAACAGTTTATACTGTTCTTTTCCCTGGAGTTGCTGTCTGGAGCTCTCTGTCTCAGGACTTTGTGAAGCATCTGTAAGCATAAAGATACCATTTACTCGACAGGACTAGTTTGATAGTAGACAGTAGGTTTATTTCGAATTAGGTTTTTAAAATATGTGAAGTTCGGGAATTCCGAAGATCCTGATAAAATATAATAAGCCTGAGAAGGAGGAATATGTTTAAAGCAGACACAAATGTTGGCAGACAGATCTTGTGTTGGACCTCAGCGTTTCAGGGTATCAGTGTCCTCCCTTCCCTCGAGTTAATGGTGTGAAGGCATGCTTCCAGTTCTAGTCATTTTTCGGATTTCTCTTGCCTGAAGACAGCATGATGTGGTCAAGATCCCTTTCTGAACTGAAAACGTTAACCATGAAGAAATGGACTCTCTTGAGTTTCCTTCCTAGGTCACTGGGGAGCCCTGTTTCAGCAGGAATTAAAGAAACCTCACCCAGAACCGTCGTTATTCTTTTCTTGTCAGACAGGCTCACTTTCCTGCTTTGTTCTGCCGTTCTAACCTGGTGGCCTGTACTCCCTGAGCATCTGCTGTCTTGGTGGAAAGGGAGTTCATTTTCTTTAGTGAAGGTGGCATATGTGACAAAGTAGTGTGTCTCTATGGTGGGGGGGCAGTATGGTGAATCTGTACTCTCCATCTGGATCCCGAGTAGAAGGCTCTTGACTTCAAACATTACTCTTGACACTTGATGTTCTCCAAGTATTGGAAAGACGGAGGGAGGAGGAAGAGGCCTGGGGACACGAGCAGACTAGGAGCTCCCTGTGGTTTTGAAAGCCGTCTGTGTTTAGACCAGAGACTCCACTACCAGTGGAGCGCACGCCTACTTTCTGCCCGTGAGCTAGTCTGAGTCTCTCCGCTCGGCAGATTTGCATAATACTCAGTGGAATATTTCGTTCTCTTGGTTACAGATACTTGCATAATTCTAGTTTCTTTCCTGGTTTTTATTTTTTCTAGATGATGATCATCTTTATTCCCTTCCCCATTTGTTGCTGTATGGTTCTTATTTTATTCTAATCTTTCTGAACAAGATACCCCGTTTCCAACCAAATATTCCCTTCTTAACGTAAATGATTAAAAAACTCTTCCAAAGGATAATGGGTAAGAGTGGGGATTAAACTGTAAGGGTTTGGGTACATACTGCTTTTTGGCTTTGTGTAGGTTCTTAAGGTAGATGTCTGTATTCCATATCCTGTAAGGAAGTCTGGAAATACTGTATCCTAGGCTGGCCTTGCCCACAGAGAAATCCATGAAAAATGAAAGCTGGTGATTCAGGGAGAGGAAGAATAGGAGTAAATGGACATTTCTTGATTGTTAGAGATTCTTTTATTCCTCATGTTTGAAAGCAGTGAAGGGGACACGTGGGCCCTTAAGTAACCTCTTATCCAGCAACATTTATGTTTTTGAAACATAGCTTAGAAGATTTTGTATTATTTTTAGTCCAGGGGATTGCTTTTAATGATTTGCCGGGAAGTTTGTTTAAAAAGCAAAGGAAAAGAAATGTTCCAAGTTGCTTTAGACCATATTGTACAAGAGCTTCTAATTTTAAATTTAGAGTCAGTAGTCAACAAAGCGAAGTAGTTTTCTTCTTGGGTGCTTTCGGTGAACACAGTCAGGCGCTAGAGGAGCTGTAATGCCTTTTTTCCCATTTTTGCCATGATTCTTACAATCCTTTCCTTTTCCTCTCTCTTCTTCAATTTTGTCCTTCCTCTTACTTTTCTCTTCTTCTGTATCTTTGCTTTTTTCCATCTTGTTTTCGATTGTTTCCTCTCATAGGTTCTTTTTCACTCTTTTACTTAAAATGTTTCATAAACATTTTATGAAGTTTTTTTTTTATTTTAAAATGTTTTGTAAACAGCTACCCCAAAAAAGTAGAACGAACACGAAGTATTTTTCGTGTATATTTTTTGTGATTATGCACACAAAAGATAAAGTACAAACAGTCTGTCAAATTTTATTCTTGGATGTACATAGAACTTCCGAACAAAACATCACTTTCCCACTGCAGTTCCTGTTTTTTGTGCCATCACCATTTCTTATCTGCCCTGTTCTCTTCTCAGCCAGCCTACCCTTTGAGCCTTATTGTCTCAGGACAAGAATGGGAAGAAGGCCCAGGAACTGGCGTGGGGTGGTGGGGATGGGGAGGGCTGAGGAGTTGGCCCTCGGAAAGCAGGAAAGTGCACAGTGTCAGATTGTTGCCATGCCTGTAACAACAGCAACAAGGAGATTGTTGTTGTCCAGGGTGGCTGTCTTTAGTGTCTCGTCCGGGTGCATGATATAGTTTTGGCTTAGACTGCTGCTTGAACATGTTCAGTATAATGCCACAATTTTTATTGACCATTTACTCCATTCACAATATTCAGAAATGCAATAGAAGATACAAATATATTCCTCCCCTTGAAAAGGTCTGGGGAATTTTAAGTAGTTCCATTAGATATAACAGAGAAACAACAGAAGAGAAAGGTAGTTTGAACCCTTGTATATGGCAGGGGACTTTGAATGTCCCAGGCTAGGGAAATTTGGACTGGAGTAGTATTGGGGTGCCACTGAAAGCGTTCGAGTGAGTAACGACATGATCAGAGCTATACTTTAGAAAGACGAATCTGGCAAAGGGTGAATGAAAAAGAGATTGAAAGTCTAGGAATTAGTTAAGAGGTTAATGACAGAGTCCGGAGAGTCAGGAGGACTTGAACTAATGATGCCAGCAGTGAGAAAGGAAAGGCGAGCAAGTGGTAGAAGACACTTAAAAAGAGAAGTCACCGTTCTAATTGCGAAAACTCAGACGCAGCCAAGATGTCCTTCAGGAGGTGAATGGATGAATAAACTGTGGCACATCCAGACCATGAAGTATTATTGAGCACTAAAAAGAAATGAGCTATCAAGCCATGAAGAGACTTGGAGGAAATTTAGATGCAATTTAAGTGAAAGAAGCCAATCTGAAAAGGCTACACACTGTATGATTCCAACTGTATGACATCCTGGAAGAGGCAAAACTGTGGAGACAGTAGAAAGATTGGTGGTTGCCAGGGCTTAAGGGGAAGGATGTTCTGAGTAGGTGGAGCCCAGAGGATTTTTAGGGCAGTGAAAATACTCTGTATGATACTCGAACGTTGGATACATGTCATTCTCCATCTGTCGAAACCCATAGAATGTACAACAGCAAGAGTGAACTCG